AGGAGGAGGATGTACCCCGACACAGAGCGCAAGAGCATGGTACGCTTTAACAGCTTTCCCAGGCCTCGGAGCACGAGGTGTCACGCGTCACGGTCTTCGGTGTGCTGTGCTCGAGCAACCAGTCGCCATCCAGAGAGTGCCGGGATGCCACGGCAGGGGGACTTGCCGCGGGCAGCTGGACAGCGAGACGCCGGAAATCTCCTCCTCCTCCTCATCCTCCTCCTCCTCCTCCTGCTCGCACGTCGCTGATCTTCCTCCTCCTCCTCCTCCTCCTCCCCCGCCGCCTCCTCCTCTCGCTCCTCTTGTCGGGGTCGCCGAGAAAGGCGCCGCAGCAAAGAGCTGGTGGGCGCACCAGCTGCGCGCAGTCCGTTTTCACCCGAGGGCGCCAGCAGCGATCCTGTATCGGATGAGTGTGCCCAGTGATGGGGCCGAAACCGGCTGTGCGCAGCAGATTTCGCCCCCCATTCCCCACTTTCGGGCCTCCAGGCTGACTACCTACCAGACCACCCCAACCCAACCCCGAAGACATGCATTTCGGGTTGGGCGGGGGGTACGGGCTTCTGGTGTGTTTCTTCAAGGTTCCCAGAATCCACCCCACTGGAAATGGAGGGCCAATTGATACCTTCAGGTTGGGTTGGGGTGGCTTGGTGGGTGGTGACAGACATCTCCCGAAGCCCCTGGAGGCGCCCCAGAACCTCCGGAAGCCTCCACTGTAGGAGGGAAAAGGGAGGAGGAGCAGCGGACCGCTGCAGCGTCGTGATTTTTGTTCGCGACGTGGGCCCGCGGAGGTCGTCTTGCCCCCTCCGCTGGGTCCATCTTCTTGGCCCCGCGGACACGGCGCTGGGCCGTTTTGTTGGCAGTCCCAGGGCCTTGTGGGTAGTGGCTCCCTGGCTCAAGACCAGGGGAGCAACATCACCCGGCGTGAGTTTTTCCGCAGAGCGAGGATCGGCGGCGAGCGAGGGGGGGCAGTGCGAAGGGGAAGGCCTTCTCAGAAGGCTCGGAAGTCCCCCGGCCTTCTGAGAAGTTTCCTAAGCCGTCCCCGAACACACAGAACACTCCTCAGAAGACGCGAGGGCTTCTGAGAAGTCCCGCCGCCTTCTGAGAAGGCCTGCTCCTTCTCGTTTCCCCTCTCGCTCGCCGCCGTCTTTCCCCCAACGTGAGGAGGTCTGGTGACGAGGAGGGTGACGACGACGACCACGTCCTTCCCGATCTTGGAGCGGAGGCACGCCAACGAAGTGGTGCCACCAGACGCTTCCGGAGCGGGCCCGCGAGAGAACGCAGTCAGGTGCACCAAACAAAAGAAGAACCGCAGCCAAAGGAGCCCATGGCCTGCGGCCGCCGCGCACGACGCTGCAGGGTCGTGCGCGGGCCACGCTCGGGTGCACGCTTCCGAGGCCCTGCCCGGGACTTTCCAAGCGATCCGAGCTCAGCCAGGAAGCGCTGCGCAGGCGGCTCTCCACGCTTCGTGTGCACATGCTGGAAGCGACTTCGCCGCGGCGGAGGCGGCGGCGTCAGCGGCGGCATCAGCGGCGGCGGCAGCACCGTCAGCGATCGATGGGGGTGAAGATTCTTGGACGCGTTCGGCCCTCTTCGGGGGCCTCGGGAGTCCATGTTGGGGCAGCATGTTAGGAGGCAACTGCTGGGAGGTTTTCGTCGGAAAGATTAAGGAGGATTAAGCCCCATTTGGGAGCTGTTACGCCGGAATGGGCCTCGGATTAAGCGGGATTAAGCTGGATTAAACGGGATTAAGCGGGATTAAGCGGGATTTAGCTGGATTAAGCCGAATTTCGGACCAGGGCGAAAACAGAATTTGACCTCCCAGGAGTTGCATCTGAACCTCGGGAGTCCATGTTGGGGCAGCATGTGACCTCTGGAAGCCTCCAGAAACCTCTGGGTACGGCAGCGCGGCGGCAGCGCCAGCCCGACGGGGAAGTAGCTTGATCGCCCATCTGCTGTCACCCTCCTCTGCGTCCTGCCTTCCTGGGACGTGCCGTGACCGAGCTTCCCCGGTCACCCCGTGGCACCAGCATGCCTGTACTGCACGCTTCAGCTTCGGCCAGAAATACTCGATCAAGTTCATCACCTGAGGCACTTGCGGCGCTCCTGCATTCCGGAAGCCTGGTGCTTTTCCTGGTGCCACTCCTGGGCAGTTCAGCGTCCCTCCCTGGTCCCCTCTCGAGTGGTGCCTCTCCTGCGCCCTCGTGATGTAAAGTGCAACTCTTTTGTGCAAAGGCAGCGCCAGCTATCTCTCTCTCCTCCAGGTCCTGCTCCGCCTGCTCATCCTCCCCCGTTGTCCTAAAACCTCTTTGCGCCAAACAGTGCTTGCACTTAGGGGTTATTCCTTCTCCTCTTCCTCTAAGGAACTGTGCCTGTCTGTTGGTCTGGCGACCTTGTTGCCGCCGTCGCCGCACCACCGCAGCCTCGTCGCCGCCAGTCGTTTGGGCCTGTCTGTCGGGCGCCGCGCTTGTTGCCGCGGTCGCCGCCCTGTCGCCGCCTCGTCGCCGCCAGTCGTCTGGGCCTGTCAGTCGGTCGCCGCGCTTGTTGCCACTGTCGCCGCCCCGTTGCCGCCCAACATAGACTGCACAACGTACATTCCACAATATGGGTTGCCCCACGCAGATTGCAGCACACAGGTCGCTCACTACATAGATCGCGCAACATACGTTGCACCACATTGACCGTACCACATGCACCACACAGATTGCACCACCCAGATTGCACAACATAGCTAGCACACCACATATTGCATACCATATATTGCACCAGCTACACTGCACCACGTATATTGCTCAACCGGTACCGCACAATAAATATCCCATGGGGCACATAGGTTGCACAACATGGGCTACACAACATATGTTGCACCACATTAATTGCTCCACACCTGCTGCGCAACATGTATTGCGCCACATACGATGCCCCACATAAACTGCACATGCTTGGCTGCACACAATATATCGCACAACATACATTGCAACATATGGATCAATTCACATACCCATTCTTTTTCTGCAGAGAGCACAGGATCTGCACCACCCCCGGATATACGTCCAGTCCCTCGGCCTGCTATGTACCGATGGTTATGCCCCCATCGATCACTCGGGGTCTGAATGCAGACGACCGAAAAAGGGAATCACACTCTACCCCTCTCATCCCTGACACATAACAAAATGCGCGCGCACCCGTCTGTCAAAAACCATCAGCGCATTTGCAAGAATCGCACTCGCAAAACCTGACAACGTCAACACGCCCGCGTCGCGGCCGCGCGCATGAACCAGAATCTTTCAAAAAACTAGGCCCCGCAAGGATTTCATGATCGAGTCCCCTGCAAACACATGAAACACGAGTGGTGTGGCAACCTGGCTTTCAGAACAGTATACGCGCGTGCTCTTGCGAACTACTGAAGAAAAACCAATTGCGATATCAATATGTTTATCACATGCGAGTACGAAAGCCTTTTTTCGCGCGCGCGCGTCGCAAGCATCCAGAAGCCCTTTGCGCGCGCGTTCGGGGGGGGGGGGCACAGCCCCTGCCAAATGACACCATGCGGGCGACTCGCGCCCGTCGGCCGCGCGCCTGTCGAAACCTTCAAGCACCTTCATCGTCGACACGCGGGCGCCATCATCATCGGCGTAATCACCATCGGCTGCGTCAGTGGCCTTGCCTTCGTCAGTGTCAGCATCGTCGCCAGCGTCGCTGCTATCATCATCGTGTCTGCCGCTGTCGACGTCGCCGTAATACAGCGTCCGCCCGAATCACCGACTCGCACTGAGGTGCCCGCGGACCATCGCGGCCTGCGAAACGCGCTTGGGACGTTCCCAGCGGTCAACGCCACCGCGGCCGCGTCGGTCGCGCCAGACTAGCTGGCCGTTCCGCGCGCGAGCCTGCGCGCGCTAGCACGGCTGCGTCGAGGCGCCAGCCAGCACAAAGCAGTCATTGCAATCGCCGCCGCATGGGTTTTGCAGACTGACTTGCGGGAGGTTGTGCGGGATGGTTGCGCGAGCAGAGGAATTGACCACGTCAACTTCGGCAAGGTTAATTGCACCACGTAGATCGTACCACCTCGAGCGCACACCACAGATTGCACACCTGATATTGCACATCATATGCGGCACTACAAGTACTGCACCACATATCATGCTCCACATCGGTTGCACAACAAGTGCGACACCTCGTAGATCGCACTACGTTTACTGCACGTAACATACGTTGCACACAATAGTTCCACAACGTAGATGGCACAACACGTATTGCACCACATAGATTCTCCTCTTTTAAAAAAGAATGCACTCTCCCCCCCCCCCCCCGGACTTATCAGCTCCCCCTTGGATCGTATAATTTCATATATATATTCTGCACACTCGTCCATCCGAAATATGAAATCATACCATCCCAGGCAGGCCGGCCCCCCCCCCTGAGGGTCCCTTATAAAAAAACACTATGCGGTGACGTTGTTCTAACATTGCACTTTTTCACAAATCCTTTGCAAACAATGAAACGAAGTGCGCACGCGCGCGTCGTCGCGCGCGCATGCCGAAATCCTTCAAAAACCTTCGGCGCCGGAAGGATTTCGCAATCGAGTTTCCAAAACTCATACAAAAACACGTGGTTTCGCAGCACTGATTTGCTAAAAAAGCTTCCGCGCGAGCTCTTGCGAAATCTTAAGAAAACCATCGGTTTTCAAGTTTTTCACAAAAAATGCTACCAAACGGGCTTCGCGCGCGCATGTCGAAGTCTGTCGAACGCCCTTGCGCGTGTGCCGTCGCGAGAATCCTCTGCAAAAAAAATGGACGAAGTGCAGACGCGCGCGTGGTCGCGCGCGTATGCCGAAATCCTTCAAAACCCATCGGTTTCGGAAGGATTTCGAAATCGCGCGTCCAAAAAAACCAAACGGGCTTCGCGCGCGCATGTCGAAGTCTGTCGAACGCCCTTGCGCGTGTGCCGTCGCGAGAATCCTCTGCAAAAAAAATGGACGAAGTGCAGACGCGCGCGTGGTCGCGCGCGTATGCCGAAATCCTTCAAAACCCATCGGTTTCGGAAGGATTTCGAAATCGCGCGTCCAAAAAAACTACAAAAACCCAAGGTTTCGCAACACGGGTTTTCAACAAAAGCGTGCGCGCGCGCTCTTGCGAAGACTCTTGCGTCGTCGTCGTAGTCGTCGCCGTCCTCCCTCCTCCCGCGTCGTTGTCGTCGTCGTCGTCGCCTACGTCGTCCTCTGTCTTTCCTCGTGTTCGCCGTCGTCGTCCTCTTTGGCGTCGTGGTCGTTTCCGTCGTCGTTGTCGCCGTGGTCGTCCTTCCTCCTCCTCCCTCTTCGTCGTCGTCGTCCGTCGTCGGCGTCTCGTCGTCGTCCCTCCTATTTCGTCGCCGTCGTCGTCGTCGTCGTCGTTGTCGTCGTCGTCGTCTTCCCTCCTCCCTCGTCGTTGCCGTCGTCGACGTCCCCGTCCTTCCTCCTTCTCCGCGTCGTCGCCGTCCTCCCTCCTCCCTCGTCGTTGTCGTCGTTGTCGCCGTTGTCGCCGTCGTCGTCCTCCCTCCTCCCTCGTCGTCGTCTTCGTTTGCGACGTCGTCGTCGTCTTCGTCGTCGTCGTCGGCGTCGGCGTCGTCGTCATCTTCGTCGTCGTTGTCGGCGTCGTCGTCGTCGCCGCCGTCGTCGTCGTCGTCGTCGTCGTCGTCGTCGGCGTCGTTGACGTCGTCGTCGTCGTCGTCGTCGGCGTCGTTGTCGTCGTCGTCGGCGTCGTCATCGTCGTCGTCGTTGTCATCGTCGTCGTCGTCGGCGTCGTCGTCGTCGTCGTCGTCGGTGTCGTCGTCGTCGTCGTCGTCGTCGTCGTTGTCGGCGTCGTCGAAGTCGTTGGAGACGTCGCCGGTGTCGTCGTAGTCGTTGTCGGCGGCGTCGTCGTCGTCGTTGTCGCTGTCGTCGTCGGCGTCGCTGTCGTTGGCAAGTGCCATTTGGTACCCACCATCACGGTCTTAAGAGATTTTGCGGACCAAGTTGCGGGTGGGTGGGTGGGATGTTTGCGCGAGCAGTGGAGTGGTCAAGCGCGGTGCAGGGTAGCCAATTGCTCCACATATATATTGCACGACATCAATCGCTAGAAACAAACGGTGTGGGGCCCACGCTGGCTAACGTGTACCCAGCCAACACATCCCCGTACAATTAATTGTTCACTCGTCCTCCTGCATGTCCCTGCCCATCCTCCTTCTCTTTCGTCTTCTCCTCCATGGTGTGGGCACGAACCCAGAGAACAACATGCCAGAGAGCAACAAGATGCTTTCAACATGGGCCGTGTCCCCTCTTCGTTGAAGGCTGAGAAAGTTGATGGCTGCGCCTGCCTGCAAGGCCAGCAGGCATGTGGTGCTGCTGCTGCGTTCTGCTCCAAAGACCCTTTCAGAATTGGCATCCTGGCGCCGCTTTGAGGGGGCCCTGGGACTGTTTTTCAAATCGGAGGGACAACCGTCCAATAACCAATGCTGTCCGACGTGTGCAGCGACTGCTGTTCTCGAGCCGACGCCTGCCACGAAACTGGGCACGTTCGCCGTGAACGCGGCAGAGAATGGTAACATATTGAGAAAGACATCTGTCAGTCATCGTCCCAAGTCATCTCGCTGTGAGATCTAGGTCGAAGAACAGCAAATCACCCTCATAGAACATGTGAATGCCGAACACTCTCTACAACATGAGGAAACCTTCAGTGACTCCGAGACCTCCGAACCAACTTAACACACGCACGCACACAAACCGGCCGTCGCCGACGAGGTCGAGGGCGCCGAAAACGACACCGACGAAGTCGTAATCCGTCGAAAACTCGAAAACAGCCAGAGTCTTAGTTGACGTCGTCGTCGCCGTCGTCTGTCGTCGGCTCCGTCGTCGTCCCCGTGGTCGCCCGTCTGCTGACTGTGTCGGTTGTCGGTCGTCGTGCTTCGTCGTCGTCGTCGATCTCGTTGCCGCCGTTGTCGTCCGTCTGCCGCCGCCGTCGTTGGTCGGTAATCGTCGTTCGGCGTCGTTTATCGGCGTCGTGATCTTCATGGTCGTCCGTTTGCCGTTGTCGGAGTTCGGTCCTCGTTCGTCGACGTCTATCGTCGTCGTCTCCATCGTCGCCCGTCTGCTTCTGCTGTTGTCGTTGGTGTCGTCGTCGTCTATTGTCGTCGTCCGTCTGCCGTCGTCGTCGGTAGTCGCCGTTGTCGTCCGTCGTCGTCGTCGTCGTCTTCTTCGTCATCGTCTGTCACCTGCCGTCGTCATCGTCGTCGACGTCGTTGTCGTCCGTCGTCGCCGACGCCGCCGTCGCCGGCGTCGTCCGCTATGGTCGTCGTCGTCGTCGTCTCATGTTGTTGGAGTCGCTGCGCTTACCTCCTTTATCCCTACCTCATCACTCCTTCCTCCCTTCGTCACTCCCCTTTCCTTGACTATTGCCTCCCTCCGTCCCGCCCATTGGCCTCTTCCGCTCAGGTGATCATGTCTTCCTGCCTCCTCCCTTCCACCCTCCCTCCTCCCTTCTCCCCCCCTCCGCTCCCCCGCACCCTCCTCATCGCTTTCTCTTCCCCGCCTTCCTCCCACCCTCGTCCTTTCCCATCCCTCTGCCCCCTCCCTCAACCCTCCCCCTCAAAAAGCTCCCCTGGATCTCTACAAAGGTGAATGTTGATAATCATTCTGGGGTGAACACTGCCGTCTCGACAAGAAGCCTCCTGGAGGCCCAAATTAATCAAGCGACATGAGAAAACCTTGAACCTCGATCCTCGATGCTCTTCCTCCTCCTCCTCGTCTCCCTCCCCTCGTCGTCGTCCTCCAAATCTTCGGCGTCTGGTTTATTTCGTAGACTGCGCATGCAAGCTGAAAAGAGAGAGAGAGAGAGAGACAGAGTACGTGGGAAGATGAATCGGAAAGCAGCCAGGGCTCAAGCCCAGGTACGTTAGCACATATCGTGAGCTGAAGGCAAACTACTATGTATACATATAGAAGTATGTACATATATATATATACATACACACATATATATTGATATGTCATATAATATATGCGTATCGATGGGTACGCAACAAGCCATAATCTCAGAAAGCTTGTGGCCTAGAAGTTACATATACTGTGCGCCGCGGTCTTTCTGCAGCGCTCCGCATCGCTCCGAGACGTTTCTGGCACGAGGCGTTCTGATTGTAAGGCTGCTTGCTTCTGGCCAGGGCTTCAAAACCCAAGGAAACCCAGTCGGAAAAACCACCCGCAGCACGAACATCCCTACAACCGAGGCCACGTAGCAACCGTGCCCAGGGAAGCCATCGATGAGGCTAGGCTCTTCGGGAAACGCTCATGGCAATCCAGCAAACGCTACTTATGAGGGTCGGGGCTGTTATTTTCTCGATCGACACGTCCCGTCGCTGAACAAATTGCATGTGCCAGGTCCTCGCCACTCCTCCCAACTTCCATAGTTGTGATTTTGTCCTGTGGCCGACGGGACCGTCAGTCGGAAGATGACGAACACAGCCAGCTGCCCCTGTATGTCCAGGAAGCAGTCCTGCCGCATGCAGTTCATCTCGACTCCGAAGAGTTCCTGCAGCTCGCTGGCGAGCGGGAGGTCCGGAGATGAGCGCGTAGCAAACAGGATGGCAGATGGCGACGGGGCGGGCGAGGATGGCGTGGAAGTGCTTAGCGGGCCTGGAAAAACAGCAGAGGCTGCCCGGACCTGCATGCGGTGGAAAACCACCTGTGCCAAGACCATGGATACAGGAGGAGGGGAAGGACGAGAAGGAAGGGGGGGAGGACACGGCGTGGGCAGCAGGGAAGCGGCACTGGCAGCTCCGCCGTCCCTGTGCTGCTTGAAGAAGGCCATGTAGTATAGGACGAAATACGAGTTTAACCGCCGACCCCCTCGGGGCCATCCAGCGCACGATGCCCGTTCCAAGGAGGCACAGCGTCGGAATGGGAGGAGGAGGAGGACGATGAGGGGGGGACGCAGAGGACAAGGTACAGGAGAAGCCGACACCTACCCTCCGCCACATCCTGCTCCACCAGGAGACCAGCGGAAACCTCCGAAGTCATCCGAGATCGCTCCCCATTCCTCCTCCTTCTCCTCCGCCTCTCCTCATGCTCCCCTTTAGGGAATCAACCGCAATGTAAAAGGAACTTCTCAAACATCCTTCTCCAGGCCATCCGGTCCCTCCTGCTCCTTCAGCTCCTCCAGTCCGTCCTCCTCTGAAGGGATCCTGGAACACACAAATAAATACACACGAATCAGGATTCCAATTTTGTTGCTATATTCTCTCACTTTTCGTTTTCCCCCCACTTGCTATATTTTCCCATTTTGTCCTGGGAGTCAACAGTTGGTTGTGTGTGTGTGTGTGTGTGATTTTTCCCCTCCTGATCTTCTTCATTCAGAAGTCAGCCCTTGGACCTTTCTCGGGGCGCGTGCCGACCATAGACTGTCGAAAGGCATCTGGCCGTGGCGACGAGGAGCCTGCTCCAGAAGATCAGCAAAGGGCCACCACAGCTCAACACAATTCGAATGTCCAAGCTTGGACCCTCTCTTCCCTCCAGCCCCCGAAGCAGAAACCAACATTACAGTAGGAGCTCGACGACAAGAAACCTTCCACAAGAAATCCAACCCTGGAGCACCAGGACGTCCATCGACTTCTGGTGTGGGAACGTCACGCCTTCCATCGCAAAACCATCGAAAGCCAAGAAACCAAGGGCACCCTGGAGGCAAGCAGGGTGTTTCTTGGGATGGGTCTCCACTATATCTTTCGGAACTCCGCGCCGGATTCCCCCTCCCTGGCGCGCGGAGCGCGTCAAAGGCGGCGCCCAAGGCCGACCCAAGAACTCCGCGCGGAGCTCCGAAAGTGATGCTTGTGCAATGTCTCTTCCTGTTCGAAGCCCCGTCTCCCCCCTCCAACATAAGATCAACCAGGGTCTGGAGTTCGCCTCAGAAGACCACGTATGTGCCCAGCACATGCCCGTGCCCGTGTGGCTCGAGTTGCAGGTGTGCGCAGCCGGCCGTGCCCAATCGGTGCTCGCAGCGCCTGCCAAGGACGCGCTTCTGCATGACCCTAAGATCCGACGTTGCACAACAACTGCATCATCGCACAAAATCACGCCCAGAGCCTTGGACCCCATCTTTCTGCGTAATTGGTCGATCTGGATCGATGTGTGAGGGTCCCAGGGTCCGAAATCGAGGGAAAACGCCCGTTGCGACAAAAATTGCAACGCCAGGATCTCAGGGGAGTGTGTTGCAAAAGAGATTCCTATCCTCGCCCCCCCTACCTCGTCCCCGCGCCGTGCTGGGCACGACGCCAGCCTCGCGGATAAACTTGAGAGCCAACACCTCGGCGATGCCGTGGGCGGGCGCGCTCGCTCAGGGCGTCGTAGTCGTCGCCGCCGCCGCCGCCTTCGCCTTCGCCGCCGCCTTCGCTTGCGCCAGCGCTGTCGCCGTCTTGCCGTCACTGCCGTCGTCGTCGCCTCGGTCGTCGTCGTCGTGGTCGTCGTCGTGGTCGTGGTCGTCGTCGTCGTGGTCGTCGTCGTGGTCGTGGTCGTGGTCGTCGTCGTGTTCGTCGTGGTCCTCGTCGTGGTCGTCGTCGTCGTCGTGGTCGTCGTCGTCGTGGTCGTCGTCGTGGTCGTCGTCGTTGTGGTGGTCGTCGTCGTCGCCGAGGGGGGAGGAGGAGGGGTGGGAATAGCAGGAGTGGGAGCGCAGAGGCCGAGGAGGGGAACAATGCGCAGCACCGCGCGGCTGCGGAGAAGAGCGGGGGGGGGTGGGGTCGTCGGCAGCCTGCGAGGCTCTGGATAAGCCCGCCGCAGGCGCCGATTTTTTACACAAGAACAACCAGCAAACACGTTGAAGATTTGGGCACCCGCCCCGAACCGACCTCGGCCTCACAGCTCGGTCCAACTGTAGTGGTTTACCAGACCGGCTCTTCCAGCACCCCTGGCCCCCTTTTGGAAAGTGCTTGCCTCGCCCTTGGGCCTGGGTCCCCTGCCGAAGGCCGGCGTTCCGTCCTGAGGCTGTTCGCGACGGCCAAGGGAGCCGTGAGCCGGCCTCCAGACGGCAGGAAGCGGAGATGAGGAGAACAACTATCGTGTTGGGGGGGGAGGGGCTGGGAGGATGGAGGGTATGAGCAGTGGCATTTGGATGCAATGAACGATATCTTCGGCCGCCTACCATTACTGGTACCCTCCTTTCTTCCTAGCCCATCCTACCAATCCGATAACTGTCTTCCTGAACAGCTGGCTGCCGTGACTTGTTTGATCCGCCTGGGCCTGAGGGATCGACTGCGACGACGGCAGCGTCAGGTCGGGCATGTCCCTGTGCAGGCGGATTTAGGACGAAAAATTAAAGTACGCAAAACAAATATTCCATATTCCAGAACGGTCAAAAAAGTCAAAGAATCGTCCCGGTAAGATTTTTGACTATTTTCGAATTTTCCTCCTCCAGAGGGACAGGCCCGACTTAACGCCAGCGGCGACAGCTGCGACGGCGGCCAGCGCGCGCATCTGGCGCAAGCCTTGGCGAGCCGGTGGCCCTCGTGCTCCGCGTGGGTCCTGTGGTTCTCCTGCCGCGTGAGCAGGTCCGCCACGACCGAAAGGAACTGGGCACCGCCGCGGGGGTCGTCCGCGTCGTCGGCGCCGTGGGCGTCGGCGGCGGCGGCGTCGTGGTCGGCGTCGCCGTCGTGGTCGTCGGCGTTGCCGCGGCGGGCGTCGCAGCCGCAATCGTTTTGTCGTCGCCGCGGTGATGGTCGTCGCCGTCGGGGGCTTAGGAAGCGGAGGATGAGAAGGAGGAGGAGAGGGAGGGAGGACGAGGATGAGGATGAGGAGGAGGAGGAGGAGGAGGAGGAGGAGGAGGAGGAGGAGGAAATAGAGGAGGAGGAGGAGGAAATGGAGGAGGCGGAGGAGGAGGCCAGCTGGCTGGCGGCTGCTGCTGCGGGAGAGGCCTCTACGGGGACGGCGGCGGGCGTGTGGGCCTGGAGCGCGCTGGCGCTGCGCACGCTGGCCCCCGCGGCGCTCCCCGGGTGTGCTCAGGCCGGAGGCCCCGGCCGGCGCAGCCTCTCTCCCTGGGAGTGGCCGTCGGTTGCACGTCGCTCCTCGTCAGGTGTTGCTAGAAGTACCCCTGGCCCAAGGTGCCCCCAGGATTCTCGGGGTGGCCCAGGCGGCCTCCGGGGCACCCCCCACGAGGCTCAGGGGGGCCCCGGGGCCTCCCGAATGGTGCGCCAAGCTGGGGGCACCCTGGGCCAGGGGCACTTCTAGCAGCACCCGACCCGGGGGCGCTGCCCCCATGTCAAGGGGCGGTGGGGCGGTGCGCGGGCTCCCGACCACAGAGTGCCCGCGGCAGAGACACCCGCGGCGCTCGGAGGGGAGAGAAGCATGAGGGGGAGGAGGACATGGGGCACGGAGGGGACGAGTAGAGGAGGGAGGAAGACCAGAGGGAGGACGAGAAGTTAGGAGGCCAGAGAGGACGACATCAGGAGGACGAGATAGGCGACGAGGAGATGGGGGACGGAGAGAATGATGGGAGGTGGAGGGAGGTGGAAGAGATGGGGGACGAGGAGGAGGGATGCGGAGGGGGTGGTGGCCGTCGTCTGGAGAACGGGGCAAAGGGGAGATTGAGGAGGAGGAGGAGGAGGCGGAGGAGGAGGAGATCGAGGAGGAAGAGGAGGAGGACGAAAAGGGGCGTGCCTTTCGGTGGGGTGGCTTTGATAGGCATCCTGGAGGCGCGCCACAGGCGCCGACACCAGCGGCATCACCTTCGGCCCCGCGGCCGTGGTGGTGGTGGGTGGCGGTGGTGCTCGTCGTGGCGGTGGTCGCCGTGGCAGTGGTCGTGGTGGTGGTCGTGGTGGTCGCCGCGGTGGTCGTCGTCGCGGTCCTCGTCGTCGTGCTGGTCGTCGGCGGAGGCGCCGTCGTCGTCGCCGCCAAATGGAGGTCGGGGGCCGCCCGGGGGTCGGTGTGCGACTGTCCTCCTCGCGGGCCTCGCCGTGGCGGGTGTGCCGAGGAGGAGGAGGGGGAGGAGGAGGGAGGAGGAGGAGGAGGAGGAGGAGGAGGAGGAGGAGGAGGAGGAGGCGGCGGAGGAGGGGAGGGAGGAGGAGGAGGAGGAGGAGGAGGAGGAGGAGGAGGAGGAGGAGGGGGAGGAGGAGGAGGAGGAGGGAGGGAGGAGGAGGAGGGGGAGGAGGGGGAGGAGAGGCGGAGGGGGAGGGGGAGGGGGAGGGGGAGGTCGGGGATCGGCATCGAGACGCGGTGATTCCAGTGAGATGGATCGGGATATCTCCCAGGCCAGAAATCTTGAATGCGCGCCCCCGCGCCGCCATCTCCCACCTCTGGGGACTCGGGGCGCGCCGTTCCTCCACGGCCACGCTCGACAGCTCTGATAACCTAATCGCCGTCGTCGTTGTCGTCGTCGTCGTCGCCCTCACCACCGTCCTGATCGTTCTCATCACCTCGTCCTCATCCTCGCCATCATCCTCATCATCCTCATCATTCGGCTCCTCATCCTCCCCTCCTCCTCCTCCTCCTCCTCCTCCTCCTCCTCCTCCTCCTCCTCCTCCTCGATCATCATCAGGGGAAGCGCGGCGCTCCGGCACAGGCCGCGACGCGCGAGGCCGACGAGGCTCTCTTTTGTTCGCCCCCGGAGAGGTGCGCACCGGACCTCTCTGGGGCGCCCCGAGCCTCTTGCTGGTCGGGCTCGGGCTGGCTCGGGCTCGGGCTCGGGCTCGGGCTCGGGCGCGGTCTCAGGCTCGGGCTCGGGCTCGGGCTCGGGCTCGGGTTCGGGCTCGGGCTCGGGCTCGGGCTCGGGCTCGGGCTCGGGCACGGGTTCGGGCTCGGGCTCGGGCTCGGGCTCGGGCTCGGGCTCGGACTCGGGCTGGCGGCAGGCTGCCAGCGCTCCATGGCGGGCCTTGCTGGCAAGGCCATGCCACGGTGCTCAGTCCTCGTCGTGGATCTCGGTCACGTCGAGCCAAACCACGCGGCAGGGGCGCCCCAGCACGGCGGCCACGCTGGGCACCGTTCGGCCCTCGTCTCCGTGGACGAACTCCTTGATGTAGGTTCCCGACTGCGCCTTGATGGTGAGCTCCACCTCATCGCCATCCGACACCAACGGGCCCAGGGCCAGTATCTTCCGGTCCCGCACCAAGTCTGCCCGCCGGTGCTCGACGCGGCTGGGCGTCCGCTGGTCCAGAGCCTGGCCGGCCAGCGCGAGAATGGCGTCCTTGGGAAACGACTCCAGGTCTCCGATGGCATGTTTGTGTCCCTGGACAGCTTGTCTGGAAGGGTTCTGTATAAATCCCACCAGCCCTTTGGACTAAGGTGGTCTACCGAGTTCTGTCTTTCCCCTTCAAAAAATCATTTCCCTTCGGGGATGGGTACCCTCCCCCTCCCCCCGTGATGTTTTTTTTTTGGGGGGGGGGGCGCGATCGGTCAGGGCGCCCAAGACGGCTCCAAAAGGGCCTCCGATGCTCCAAGATGGCCTCAAAGGCGGCTCAAGATAATCGAAGATGGTTCAAGATAGCTGCCGACATACCTCAAAGAGGCCCGACGAGGGCCAACCCCCGCAGGACCCCCCCAAGAGGCCAGCACTCTTCAAAAACCTTTGGAAAGTCACTGATTTTGCAATTCTCCCCGTTTCGCTTCCGATGCGCTTTTGAAGCCCGATGGCCCCAAGATGGCCCAAGAGAGGCCCAATAGGAGCCCAAGATGGCCCCCCCGACGGCCCCGATCGCCCCCAATAGCGGCCCAAGAGCCCCCCAAAGAGGGCTCCGAGAGGCGATTTTGATTGCCCCAAGGGGTGGGCCAAACGTTACGACACCCTCTCTTTCACCGACGTCCTCCACGATAGCACAAGAGGCCTTCCTGGGCTCCATACAGGTCCCTGAGAGAGCCCCAGGACGACCCCATGACCTCCCAAAAGACCCCCAAGAGGATCTCGTTAACCTTTTCTTTCCGTCCATTCTCCTGGGCATGGCTTCCGAATGGGCTGGTGCGGATACGGTGGGGGCCCTCGTTAAGGAATGCGGCCAGGGGACTTCAGACCCTGGAGGATTCCTTATCTGATGAGGGTGGCAGCGATGCGATATCCATGGCCAATCCACGATTGGTGATCCACCAGCTTCCAGACCCTGGATTCCTTCTCCAACGGCTCCTTCTTCCGATGCCCTCACCGTCCGTAGCCATTCTGGTTCAAGCCGGGCTCGGGCGCGCGCGAGCGGGCTCTCCCGAGAGGCCTCCAGACTTAAAGGGACATTAGGACACACAAATAAATACACACAAATAAAAATAGTCCCCATATTTTCCCATATTTTCTGGGTTTTTGTCTTCCCCCCCAATTCCCATATGTTCCCATATTTCCCTCGGAATCGAGGATTATTTGTGTCTGTGTGTTTTTTTCCCTCCTGAAGACTGTCGCGGCGAGGCCTCGCACGAGGTCCCAACGGACCTCCGAGAGGCCTCATACCCGCAAGCCGGGCACCGTGGCGGGAGGGGTGTCGAGAGCCAGGGCCCTGAGCTCCGACGTCGCCCAGACAACACAAGCAGCATCCGCAACAATCACGCCCGGAGCCCCAGACCCCATCTTTCTGCGTCATGTTTCGACTCGGATCGAAACATATCTATATCTATATCTATATCTATATCTATGTCTATATCTATATATATATATCTATATATATATATATCTATATCTATATCTATATCTATATCTATACATATATATATATATATATATATATGTGAGGGCCGGGGGGCCCGACATTGAGCGAAAATGCCGGTCGCGAGAAAACTGCAACGCCATGATCTCCGGGGAGATCTCGGCGGCACGGATCCAGGCATCCGACGTCCTGTTTTTTCCAGGACGGCCTCCCTGGAAGTTCCGACCCTTTCCGCAGGACCTGTTTTTCGTCCTGAATTGTTTTGTGGTAGTCCCGAGGCCCGGCGAGGGCCCCCCAGAGGCCGAAAATAGCCAAACACCTCCCGTCGTGCAATTTTCTTGACGCGGAGGGGTCTGGGTGGTGCGGGTCTCCCCTCCAAGTCCTCGTCCGGCGCTCCTCGGAAGCCGCCCTCCACCCGGAAGCGGATGACGTACGTCTTGTCCGCGGCGGCGGCCTTCAACCGGGCGGGCTCGGCCCGCGTGGACGGCCGCAGGGGTCCGCCCAGCTCCACCAGGCCGCGGCCCGCTGCAGTGACGGTGCCGGCCAGCGCGCCCAGATCCTGATGGGCCCACTTACCACCACCATGACCGTGTGTAGGAGAGGGAGGAGGGGGAGGGGGAGGAGGAGGAGGAGGAGGAGGAGAGGAGGAGGAGGAGGAGGAGGAGGAGGAGGAGAGGAGTAGGAGGAGGAGGAGGAGGAGGAGGAGGAGGAGGAGGAGGAGGAGGAGGATAGGAGGAGGATAGGAGGAGGACAGGAGGAGAGGACTGGAGGAGGAGGACAGGAGGAGGAGGAGGGAGGAGGAAGGAGGAGGAGGAGGAGGAGGAGGAGGGGAGGGGGAGGAGAGGAGGAGGAGGAGGAGGAGGAGGAGGATAGGAGGAGGAGGAGGAGGAGGGAGGAGGAGAGAGGGGAGGAGGAGGAGGAGGAGGAGGAGGACCTCCTCCTCCCCCCTTTCCCCTCGTCGTACACGTTTGGCAGGGGTGGTGGAATTATCCTGCCCAGCAGATCCCGCAGGGGCGCTCGGCGCCTGGGGGCCCGCAGCTCCAGCACGAAGGGCCTCCCGCGTCCCAGGCAGCGGACGTCGACGTCCTCATGCTCAGTTATGTTGCTCCCGTTGCACTTAAGGGCCACATCCCAAAAACGATCTCGAGCACCCAGGTAAAGTTAGGGGGCCAGGAGCACCCGAACGAAGTGAACCCCACCCTCGCCCTCAGAAATCGTGGGGGGTAGGGGTAGGGTTCGCATGTGGCCCCCTAAAAGTATCGAGAGACAGTGTCGAACGAGTAATGCCTCCAAGGGCCCGGCACGCGACAACCCTCCGGTTTCGGTACTTTCTTGGTGCTCGAAATCGTTTCTGGCGGTCAAGGCTAAAGTAGGCTGGAACGTCATAGATGCTCAGGGGAACAGTCAATGACATAAACATAACAACTCGGCTCGGAGGTTCGCGCGGAGTTCTCGGAGCCGCGCTGGACCCCCCTGGCAGCGCCTCCGGCGCCGCCCCTGGCGCGCTCCGCGCGCCAGGGAGGGGGGTCCAGCGCCGATCCGCGAAACTCGCGCGGACCTCCGAGTTCTTCTGTTTCTGTCACTGCTCGTTCCCCTACTGTTGGCGGCGGCTGGGGGGTCGGAACTGGTTGAGGCCCCAGGAAACCGGTCAGGAGGGGGGGGTGAGGCCGAATCCGCTCACACTCGGTGCCCAGACTCCTCGCGGAGGCCATCTGGTGCAATTTGTCGCCCCGGATCCGTTTCGGACCGTCCCAGGGACCGAAAACCGATCCTGGAGGCCGAAACTGGCAACAAAAACTTCCTAAACCCAGAACCTCGGAACTGCCCCCCTCTCTGCTGGCCGGAACCAATGCTGGGCCGCCTCAGACCCACAGACAGCCACAATCCTAATGAGCCACCCTGAGGCTTTGGCGTCTCAAGTTTTTCGAGCTGACACAGACATCCAGCGTCTCGAAAAAATACAAACGGCGTTTTTGTTATATCGTTTTCGGACTCTCGGGGCCCTTACTGGGCCTCGGGACCGTCAACAGAACGGCTAAGGATGAAAAGCTGGTCCCGGGGAAGCGGTCGAGTGGTCGGGGGCCCGTGACTCGAGCAAAACCGAGACGCCAGATGTTTGGGGAGATCCGTCGTCTCCCCAAAAGATGAAACATCGTGAAAATCACGATCAGAGCCCTGGACCCAATCTTTCTGCCCCATTTTTTCGAGCCGCATCGTTTTATGGAGGCCCCAGGGCCCGAAGCGTGCAGGCAGGAGCCGGCGGCACGCAAGATCGCATCTGCGGCGATCGGGGGACCCCAGTGGGCACCCAATGGGTCCCGAGGCCAAGTGAGGGCCCTGAGGAGCCGAAACCTACGAAACCCGCCGCTCCAATTTTTGTTCGAGACGCCGGGGGCCGGAGCCCTAGATGCCCTGGACCTTCGTCGCATCTACGGGGCCGACGTCCTCCTTCGCCGCTGTCCAGCCTCCTCGGGGCCCCTCCCAGGAACTCCCGAGGAGGCCGTGCAACGGAGGGGTCCAGGAAAGAAGGCCGGTCCTGGGCATCCAAGGCTGAGGCTCCCTCGGGTCCCCTCCAGGGGCTCAAAGGAGGCCGTGGAGCGGAAGGGTCCAGGAAAGAAAGCCAGTCCCGGGCATCCAAGGCTGGCGGAGGCTCAGGCCTCCACCCCCTTGCGGCGAATTGCACGTAGGAGCGACCTTTCGCCGGAGTCACCTCGAGTCATGACCAAAATCACGACGCGAGGTTTGTCGCTACTGTCGGCCTCTGGGGGCCCTTACCAGGCCTCGGGACCGTAAACAAAAAAAGACTCGGGATGAAAAACCGGTCCCGGGGAATGGATCGAGACGTCTGGGGGTCGCCGTCATGAACAAAATCATGACGTCGGGGGTCTGGGTTTGTTGCGGGCCCAACGTGGTCCCCCGATCGCCGCAGGCGATGCGGTAGTAGCGTCTTGTGCGCTCGTGTTTGGTCCCCCTACGGCCTCCAAAAAGCGGCGCACCAGAGGTCACTCTTGCCCAGGGTCACTCTTGCGTGTAGCGGGCCCTTGCCTACCCTGGCTCAGACATCCAGCATCTCGAACAAAAATGGTGATGGCGTTTTTTATCGTGTTTGGCCTCTTGGGGCCCTTACTGGGCATCGGGACCGTCAAAGAACAGCTCGGGATGAAAAGCTGGCCCCAGGGAAGCGGTCGAGTGGTCGGGTGCTCGCGTCTCGAAAAAAAAACGAGACGCCAGATGAAAAAACTGCAACATCTAGGAAAAATCACGACTGGAGCCCTGGACCCAATCTTTACATTGTTCGAGCCGCATCGATCTGTGGTGGCCCCCGGGGCTCGAAACCTGGCCAAGACGCTGAGCTCGAAGAAGTACGTTAGGCTCTCGGTGGTGGGCCACTCTCCCTCGGGGCCCCACTCACGGGTTCACGTGCCGATCCTCGCGCCCCATGCCGTGGAACACGCAGTCTTCGGCCCCGAACGCCTCCACGAGGCCCTTGCCGACAAGATCCTGGGGGCAGGTACCAGTACCGCTACTCCCCGGATCTCTTCGAGGGTGCGTTCTGACTGAAAAATATAAGTCCAGCCGTGGCGACGAAGGCTTTCAATGACGAGCAGCGGCACTGGTACTGAAGGTCTGACGCTTCGAAAATTATCGCGAAAAATCCGGACTGGAGCCCCATAGTAGACTCAATCTCTTGGCTGCATGCTTCGGGCCAGATCGCTCTGCGGCAGTCCCAGGGCCCGGAAAAGCACGGCGGCAGCGCCCGCTGTGGCGAGAAACTGCCACGCCCAGCTCTCACGGGATCTCTTGCTTCTCCGAGGTCCTGCACCGAGTCTGGGTACTGCAGCCCGGAGCCGCCGCAGCTCTTGCAGGCTGGCGGCCCGGCGGCGCCGGCGCTGCCTGCCTCTCCTGAGGGGCAACGGTAGGGGGGGGGCCAGCTCAGGGTGCGGGCAAGACTTGTGTCCATGTCCACTGCAGCTTGGATTTTCGGGCTCCCTTCGCCAGACACCCGAGGCGCACGGGACATGGATGCAATTCTGGCCCCTTGTGGCTCGATTCGTATCCATGCCGAGTGCGCTGTGGCCTTGCGGCGCTCCTTCCAGGAAAGACCAATACGCACTGGATATATATATATATATATATATGTATTATGAATATTGCCCGCGCCTGGGGTGGGGGAAATCCACCTGGAATCGGCGACAACTCGCCGATAGCTCGGCGACATGTCCCCCACTGCGAGCCTGCGCCGTCCCGAGCGGGGCAGGCTATAGCGGGCCCCCACCGGCGATCCGTGGGCGGCGGTGGGCCGACGACTTCCCGCCCTGGGCCGATGCATCCCGCCCCGACGCTGCCCCGGAATCGCCCGGCTCTCGAGGCGGAGCTCGGCTCTCTGGCGGGACGATCCAGGCAACCCTTAGCTCGGGCATGCCCCCCCTGCAGGCAGATGTCGAAGGACAGAATGAAGAATAGTAGGCACGCATTCGAAAATGGAGAAAAATACCCTGCGACATTCGGGACCACTCAATGCTGACGGGTATGCTGAAAAGCCCGCAGTGCGGAAGACGAGCACCCATCAGTGAACTCAGAAGAGCGCACCAAGAGCAGCGGCAACGCGTAAGACGTACCTCTGCTGGGCCTCCCAGGAGCCCACGAGAGCGGCGACAGATGCGCAGACCGCAGCCCCCCAGGGGGCGCCGCGAGGTCTCGAGGTGGTCCGCGTGGGACGTACCTCCGCAGGGCCTCCCAGGAGCCCACGAAAATGGCGACAGTTGCGCAGATCGCAGCCCCCCAGGGGGCGCCGCGAGGTCTCAAGGTGGTCCGCGTTGGACGTACCTCCGCTGGACCTCCCAGGAGCCCACGAAAGTGGCGACAGTTGCGCAGATCGCAGCCCCCCAAGGCGCCGCGAGGACCTCCGCTGGAGCTCCCAGGAGCCCACGAACGTGGCGACAGTTGCGCAGATCGCAGCCCCCCAGGGCGCCGCGAGGTCTCGAGGTGGTCTGCGTTGGACGTACCTCCGCAGGGCCCCCAGGAGCCCACGAAAATGGCGACAATTGCGCAGATCGCAGCCCCCCAGGGCGCCGCGAGGTCTCGAGGTGGTCCGCGTTGGACGTGCCTCCGCTGGGCCTCCCAGGGGCCCACGAAAGTGGCGACAGTTGCGCAAATCGCAGCCCCCCAGGGCGCCGCGAGGTCTCGAGGTGGTCCGCGTTGGACGTACCTCCGCTGGGCCTCCCAGGAGCCCGCGAAAGCGGCGACAGTTTCGCAGTCCGCAGCCCCCCAGGGCACCGCGAGGTCTCGAGGTGGTCTCGAGGTGGTCCGCGTGGGACGTACCTCCGCTGGGCCTCCCAGGAGCCCACGAAAGTGGCGACAGTTGCGCAGATCGCAGCCCCCCAGGGCGCCGCGAGGTCTCGAGGTGGTCCGCGTTGGACGCACCTCCGCTGGGCCTCCCAGGAGCCCACGAAAGTGGCCACGGTTGCGCAGATCGCAGCCCCCCAGGGCGCCGCGAGGTCTCGAGGTGGTCCGCGTGGGACGTACCTCCGCTGGGCCTCCCAGGAGTCCACGAAAGTGGCGACAGTTTCGCAGATCGCAGCCCGACGGCACGAGAGAAGAGGAGAGGGGAAGAGACAGGAGAGGAGGAGGGTAGGAGGGGGGAGGAGGAGACGGACGGGGCGACCACACTGCTCTATTCAAAACGAGTGCCACACCATAGGAGGGTTGGGAATAAGCTATAAAAAATGTTCCCAGGGCATGTTTCTTATATTTATATATACTATGCTTGCATATTCCTCCTGTGGAGGGACATTCACGACTGAAGGCAACCCACAGAAAAACGCCATCGGCGATGCACAGCCGCGGAGAGGCATCCCGAGGCTGTGACAGCTGCCGAGCGCCAACGCAGACGCCCGAACACCGCGAGCCTCGAGCCTCGAGCCCCTACCAGCGATCAATGGGCGATTGTGGGTCGACGCGTACACTGAAATTCTGATCATTGGCTTCCGCCGCACCGCCGACCCCTGGGGCCGTCTTGGAGCCCTCTGGGGCTATCTTGTGTTGACATTGGAGGCTTCTTGGGCTGTTGTGGGCCTCGTGAGCGATCAAGAGGCGAACGTGCTAAACAGAAGCGTTCCCCCTAGGGAATGGGACGATCTTCTCTTCTTGAGGACATCTTGGGACGCCTCCAGGTGGCTTGTTGGGGCGCCTGGGGGGCCTCTGGGGCCGTCTGGAGGCAATATCGGGCGTCTTGGAGCGATCTCCTCACGAGTCGTGGCCCTCTGGAACCGTCGGGGGGGCCCTGTGGGATCCTCTTGGCCCATTTTGGGGCCCTCCAGGGGCCCTGTTGGGGCCCTCTTGGGGCAGTCCTGGGGCCTCCTGGGCCGTTTTGGTGGCTTCTGGGGCCCTCTTGGCGCCCTCTTGAGCCGTCTGGGAGCCCTCTTGGGAGCCTCTTGGGCTGTCTTGGGTCGATCTTGAAGGCTTATTGGGCTGTTGTGTGCCTCGTGAAAGCCCAAGAGGGGAACGTGCTGGACATATACGTTGTTCATAGAGAATGGGGCGTTGTTTGTTTCTGGAGGGCCTCTTGGGACGCCTCCTGCTGGCTTCTTGGGGCGTCTTGGGGGCCTGTGGGCCGTCGGGAGGCAATCTTGAGCGTCTTGACATGATCTCTTGACGACTCGTAGCCCTCGTGGGCCGTCCAGGAGGCCGTTTGGGACCCTCTAGGGCCCTCTTGAGGCCGTCCTGGAGCTCTCCTGGGCCGTTGTGGTGGTTTCTGGGGCCCTCGCGGGGCCCTCGGAGGCCGTCTTGGAGCCCTCGTGGGGGCCTCTTGGGCTGTCTGGGGTCGATATTCGAAGGCTGCTTGGGCCGTCGTGGGCCTCGTGAACGGCGAAGAGGCGATTGTGCTGAAAACGCATTGCTTCGCTAAGGAATGGGACGATTTCTCCTTCTTGAGGACCTCTTGGGGCGCCTCTTGGTGGCTTCCTGGGGCGTCTGAGGGGCCTCTGGAGCCGTCTGGAGGCAAACTTGGGCGTCTGGGGGCGACCTCTCGGCGACTCGTAGCCCGCTGAGACAGTCCAGGGGGCCTTTGGGGACTCTCTTGCCCCGTTTTGGGGTTCCTGAGGCTCCAAGGCGGCGGCTGGCACTTTTGCCTCCCGCCCCCCCCCCCTTCAAACTGGCCGGAACGGGCTCCCACGGGGGGTTGGCCCCAAAGGGTCAGGGAATCCGACGTCGCGAAGAGATCTGGCGTCTCGAAAAAAAACACTGCGGTTTTCATAGTTTTCGGCCTCTCTGGGCCTGTACTGGGCCTCTGGACCGCCAAAAACGACCCGGGATGAAAAGCTGGTCCCGGGGAAGCGGTCGAGTGGTCGGGGGCCCGTGACTCGAACAAGACCGAGACGCCAGATGTCTCGGGAAATCCGACGTATCCAAAAAACTGCAAGATCGTGAAACATCACGACTGGAATTCGTTTCTTCATTTTCGGCGATGATGGGCATTATAGGGGGGAGGAGGGACCAGGGGGGGGTGCACAATGTAACGCCTCCCCCCCGCCGTGCGCACGGCGGCAGTGCCCGGAGCGCACTGGGGGGGGAGGGGCGTTACGTTATGGGGGGGAGGGGAAGCTGGGGGGCTAGAATGCCCAGTATGCACCAAGCAGTACAGTCGGGGCCCTGAAGAAGGAACCCTTTTGGTTGGGGAGGGGCTCCGCGTTCCTTAATTACGTGTTTCACAGCTTGCCTCAGGTTTCCCCTTGTGTTTTCGATCGGAAATCGAAGTTTAACTTATGGAGAAAAGGGGCCTCGTTCCTTATTTAGGGTTCCTTAGGTCAACGCCCCGACCGTAAAGGAAACACGCTCCTCGAGCCCTGGGCCCAATCCGTCTGCGCCATGTATCGGGCCGCGTCGATCTGTGGTGGCCCCGGGGCCCCGAAGCGGGCCAGAACGCCGGGCTCGGAGCAACAATTTGAGAACCACGATGTCTCGGGGCCGATGCAGGCCAGGGCCTGGCGGCGCGGACACAGGGTGGGAGGGAAGGGGGGCAGGCTTCTCAAAGGGAGGCTGCTTCTTCGAAGGCTCCGCCCCTGCAACTGTCTGTTCTAGACAGGGCCCGCGCCTTCTAGAAGGGGCGTTTCTAAAAAAAACGCCCTCCCCCGGGATCACCCTACCAAAAGCTAAGCCAGGACCAGGATAAATTCGGGTGGGGATAAATCGAGCATGTCTGAGATCTGGCGGCTCTGGAGGATGTATTGGGCGTCGCGGCCTTCTCAGAGCGTTTCGGAACGCTCTGAGAGCGTTCCGGAACCCGCTGGAACGGATTTATCCTCGTCCTAGCCCCATCCGAGACCCCCCTCCCCAGACCCCCGACGTCATGTTTGTTCGTTTCTTGTTTTATGACGTCGACCCCCAGAGGTCTCGACCCATTCCCCGGGACCCGTTTTTCCTCCCGAGTCGTCTTGTCACGGTCCCGAGGCCTGGCAAAGGGCCCCCGAAAGCCAAGAATAGTGGAAAACCTACCGTCGCGACTTTTTTTCGCCGCACGGGGCGGCTCGGGGTCTGCGCGTGGCTGAGCGCAGCCTTGGGCAGGGACCGACCGTCCGGGCATTCCCATGGACCTACCGCGACACGCTCCTAGAACCCAGACGTGTTCTGAGAACAACAACAGCGCTCTCAGAACACAAACCCAGACTATGCTTGGACTATTTTCGCATATTCCTCCTGTAGAGGGCCAGGCCCGACTTAACGACTTGGACGCCCGAATTATCCGGGATAACTCGGGTCCGGGGTAACTCGGGCTTGGGTTCCCGAAAAACGGACCCGAGTTAGCCCTGACCCGAGTTACCCCTGATGATTCGGGGCTCTGGACGCCCGAAATATCCGGGGTAACTCGGGTCCGGGATAACTCGGGTTCGGATTCCCGAA